GTCATGTATTGTAGACTTCGTTGATATTTGCATTGATAGTGGGACTATTATAATCATGCTATTTCTATAGCATTGATATGGAAAGTGCTACATTGTTTAATTTGTGACGATGTAAGTGATGCAGTCAAAATTTGTGACATATTTTTACATTGTAACATCTGTCTGAGGTTGCGACATTTTTGCAGCAGAATTTATGACTTCCGAATTATCAATGAAAAAAATTATTGTCTCTTTGCTAATTATCAAGAACCCTTTCTTTTGAAATATTAATATTGCTTTTAAGATTGTGTTATAGAGGAGGAACCCTAGCACCCGTCTCCCCTCTTTGTAGGGGTTGAGGTTTTTTGCCGCCCCTATCAATATGGGGTTGGAGCGGCAGATTAGAATGATTTTAAGTGCCCTAACGCTTGGGATGACAACTACGTCGGAGGAGATAGTGTTGGCAGATGAACGAGTTGCGGTTGGGAAGTTGTATCAGTACTGGATCGTGAAGCCTTGGTCGGCCGCTCCGACAGTGGTGGAGTTGGTATTCACCCATATTGCAAGAGCTCCTCATCCTCCAGAACCACCTCCATATTAGGAAGAGGTTTGTTGAAAGTTTTTATTTCAATATTATTTTCTCTTTAGTAATGCTTGTTTCTGTTTTAGTCCGAGTAGATTCGGTTCGAATGTTTGCATTTGTGGAGTTCTTTTGATAGGCAAGGTAGATCCTTTCGTTTTAGGCTTAAATTTTGCCCGTTTCAGATTTAGCGAGTCAGGTTGCTTTGTATGAGCTGCTTGAATGTTGTCTTATATGCGTTCTTGTTTTTAATATAAACCCATGTTTTTATGATAAAAAAAGATTGTGTTATAGAGTATTTTTACAAAATTAATATTATTTTAGCACTAACGTTACTCTTAGTATTGTGACAATTTTGGCGACATTGATATGATTCTGAGTTTATGACATTGTTATGACATCGATATGATTTAGGCATTCCAAAAAAATTACATTCAAAGGTGACATATTTTAATAATATTAAAATGATAATATTTGACATTGTGACATTTTTACAATATTGTGACATGATGTAATAAGCTTTGATAATACTCCCTTCGTCCCGAAAAGATTGACCAAATTTCCTTTTCTAGATGTCCCAAAAAGATTTGTCATTTCCATTTAAAGTAAGGAATATATGGCTAAAATTAATTCTCTCTCCTCTGCACACATTTCAACCACACAGTTTTTACTTTATTAATCCACGTGAAAGTCAACTTTGGTCAACCCTTTTGGGACGGAGGGAGTATAATTTAATGTCATTTTCCAATATAATATAATAAAATTCAACATAATAAATATAATGTTGTTAATCATATTATCAATGAAAATGATTTGCAAAATAAATAATGAAATAGTTTCCAAAAAACTAATTTCATAAAGTGAATCTGCAAAACAAAAGAACCAGCAGGCACAAAAGTTAATGCACACTCGCGACAACTTGTCTTGATTGCACAAGTACTTGTCTTAATTTCACCTTCCGCTGCACTAATGCCAGTCAAAATTTAGTGCTTTCCGATGACTTCGATGACTATATTTATTTTTCTTTGGATTTGGGGATTCACCAACCTTCTTCTGCTGACCATCATTAAAGCTTAGAGGATAAGCCGTTGAAAGCAAGTCATTGAGTGTGTGGCATCATGCACTACGTTGCAGGAAGCATGGAAGGAAGATGGGCTGATGGGATGAAAGCAGGAGAATATTATTATCTCCTAATATAGAGATTACTCATACACGCGAGTTAACGGACTTAAACTTCTATTTGCATCCCCTTCCATATGTTTTAATCCTATTTATGTTTTTTCCCTTTGAAATATTCTGAAGATGTATGAAATCTTTCAAAGCCTTATGGAAGACTAAAGAAGAGTATTGGGGAGAATAGAGGAATGTAGAGGCTTGTTGAAGTTATCTGGAGTATGAAGGTATGTGTAGAGAATTTTTAAGAACTATTATACACCATTCATTATGGACGTGAAGTTTTATAAATAAGAGCAGGAGCCTTAATCTAAGCAAGAGTGAAACCATTTCTTAGAGTGATAAATAGACAGAGAGAGCATATTTGAGATATAAAAGAGAGACAACTTGGGAAGTCTAAATCCTCAAGTTTGAGTAAATCACCATAGAGTGAGACAATTTTGTGAGGAAAAAGCTATTTATACACATGACTTGTCCAAATTTTTGCACACCCCCCAGAGTTGCCTGTGTACACATGCAACTAAGCAGTGTATACAAGTAGCACAACCCATTTGGTAAACACATCATTGCAATCCTACTATTCTTTTGTATAATAGAAGAATTTCGACATTGAAGTATACTTGTGTACACTCATTACTACCTTTAATCCTTAAGTGCTAATCTTAACTTCAAACGAGGAAGTTTGAGTTTTCTCAATAATGGTGAAGTTGATCAAGAGGTGATGTATATGAAAGACGGTGAAGATGAAAGATGATATGATAAAGATGAAAGATAATTAAGATATTTGATGAAGATGTGTAAAGAAGAAGAAGGAGAGAACCATATGAAAGTATGAAAGAGGGAGACATGAAGAGAGGATAAAAATACTCCTTTGTTCCATTGGACATTGTCAACTCTTTTGTTGTTGTTGTTGTCCCAAAAACGTTGTCACTCTCTCATTAAAGTAACAAATTTTTGGTTCTGCTCATACCTCTGCACAAACCTCAATCATACATTTTTTACTTTTCTTATTTCTCACCTAATTCGAAGTTGACAAAGACCACCATAACGGAGGTAATAATAACTTTTAAACCCTTATATAATACTCTACTCCATAGATATAGTATGCCATATGTGTGTAGAAGGGTCTACACCTGAAGGATGACACCTCACCCCAAAGTAGTGACATATTCACACATTTCACAAATAACAGATCACATTATAAACTTTGCGTAACTAGACTTAATTTAAGTTCTAAATGCACAAACATGTAGTCAAGTACATTGTGGTCTGATGAGATTATTGTGACACTCCCAAGAAGGAGGTCACAAATTCGAATCTCATCACAATTCAAAAATATTGGCCTTAAGCCCTTAACATAGAACAAATTTAGAAAGCTATGCCAAGAAATACACAAACATGTATACAAAAGATCCGTTTATATTACTTGTGTGCAAATATGCAATTGTAAATAAAATTTTTAAAAAATGTTTGGTAGAAGTTATACAGAATACATTTTCTCAAATAGAAATCATTGTTTTCTTCTTAAAATAGGACGCATGCACTCCTATTTAAGTCATTCTTATTATTTTATTCTTTTTATAAGATTACATAAACATATGCTTTGTGAAGAAAATATACTTAGTCCTATTTTATAATTTTTATTATGTTTTACTCATGTTTTGAGCAATTTCTTATAATACTACAAATGGAGTATATATATAGGAGTAGGGGTAGGGGTGCGATTCCAATGATAACAATGCTTAACGTGAGGACGCTCACATTTAACCCAACACGATGCACAATGAAGGTCATCTGGTGTACTTTCAAACTTTTATCAAATAAGTAAAAAAGGACTACTACAGTTTTAATCATCCCAAATAGGACTAAACAATTGATTCCTACCAGAAATGCCCCTAAGAGTATTATTTCATAATGAAATGTTACAATTCATTATAAAATCTTAAAAAAGCGTAAAAATATTTTTAAAAAAAAATTGTTAAAAAAATATTTTTAAAATAAAATTTAAAAACATTTTTAAAAAAAATAGTAAAAACATAAAAAAAATATAAAAGAATATGGATATCTTTCCCACCACCACCTTCGACCAGTAAAAATTCTTCCATTTTTTATAAAATATTCCATTTTTCCCCGAAAATGCCAAGAAAATGGCGTTGTTACTCTTCATAATGCCAAAATTCTCATTGAATCCGCTATTATTATAGCATTACCAAAAATATTGACAGATTTTCTTTTAACAAATTAATATAAAAAAATAGTGAAAACATATAAAAAAATATGCATACCTCCGATCGGTGAAAATTCTGCCATTTTTAGTAAAAAATGTCATTGTTTTCTGAAAATGACATTATTACTCATTATAATGCCAAAATTCTCATTGAATCTGCCATTATTATGGCATTACTAAAAATGTTGACAGATTTCCAACTGGTGAAGGAAGCTGGTGGTGCTGGGGGTGGCAGAGGCGGCGGCGATTTTTTACATTTTTTTATTTTTTATTTTTTATTTAATATTTTTTTTATAAATTTTTTAATATTTTTTGACGTTTTTTATTATATATTAATGTTTTTTATTATTTTTTTATGATTTTATTATTAATTAAGACATTTCAAAAGCTACAAGGGTATATTTGTCCAAACACACAAATAGTCCTACTAGGGGATTAAAAACATGTAATTTTATTTGTGCTCTTGGGCCACTTTTTTTAATACCTATTTAGGTAATTAACTATATATATATAGGAGTAGGGCTGTAGGGGTAGATAGTGCGATTTCAATGATAACGATGTTTAACGTGAGAAAACACACATTTAACCCAACACGATGCACAATGAAGATATCTGGTGTGCTTTTAAACTTTTATCAAATAAGTCAATATATTAAATAATTGTGCTGACATTTTAGTAAATATTACGCTTAACGCAAAAAAGTGTAATTGACATTTTAGTAAATATTTGTACATTACATTGGGGTAAATGTGGTATTTTTTTGTGCATCCAAATTGAGTTTTAATTACAGGTACCATATATATTAGTAATGTGAAAAAAAGTTCTATTTGTATACATAACATTCATGTTTAGAAAAACTGCTTTTATCTATGTACACACGTATATAAATTGCCTGAAAGTTACGGCAATTCACTTGAAGCTAAGAGCATCTCCAACCCAGAACGGTTAGACATTAAAAAAGCATGGCCACGTCAAATACAAATAAAGTGTTGTTTTTTCATGCTCCAATGCTCGCTGAGTCGCTGTATACGGTTACGTGGAGGTGAGTTGTACAAAATAAATGTTCACATCGTGAACTCCACTTTCTCATCTTCAAAAGCCAGTTACACGGCCTGACTCATCACACGAGAATACATCATGGGCATAAAATGGCGCCCGTTCGGAAATTTGGTAAATAATTGGCGCCTCATCTCTGAAAATTTAGCGCGCATCTCCTCAAGCTATAAAAGCTGATGTCCTTCTCGATCATATAGCTAGAACGTAACTGTAGACAACAAGAAAAAGAAGCTTTCTATCGGAAAAAAAAACTGCATCTGTAGACAACAAGAAGTTCTCGATCGGGAGTTCTGAATACGATAGGTGTATCTTGCCGTTGTGCGGGATTGACCAGGTAGAAGTGAAATCATTATTTGGGGTTATTTGATTTACAGAGTGCGATTGTGTTCTTTTTATAATCTGGTCCAATTTTGAGTATTTTTTAGGTATTCTGGAATTTGAGAGCGTTATCAGTATTCTTGTAGAGTGTATATCTGATTGAGTACCACTGAAAAAAATTAAAAATACTGCATACTTCAATACGATTCCTTACAATTTTCTTTAAACATTTCGCAGATTTATATAAGAGGAGGCCGATCTACTGGTCTACAAATTAGATAACAACTTAGCATTTTGTTACTTGTTGGAATATTATGTATGTTTCTGGAATATGTTGTATGTATTCCGTAGCTTCTTGAATTACTGTTTTATGAACACTAGTATACTTAGAAGAACATCTTGAAAATGTTAGAAGTCTGCAACTCAACTAGGTAGGTCATCTGCAACATACTCTGAATAATCAAAGATTACAAATAAAGTGGAGTAATACTAACGCAACTTGCTTTCATAGTGGACATTAAATAACTAAAGTAATATCAATGACACGGAGCAAGTTGATTTTTAAATTGGAATGTGTAGAATTATTATGGGTAGTGTATTTTTACATATTAAATTCATGTGAGAGAAGTTTAGATTAATTAAAAACGTAGTTATCCTTTTTATGCTTGTTGAGGTTAATTCCCAAAGATCCGAAAGCCCAACACAAGCTTTGGATATTGTAGGGATATTGGGTTGGAAAGTGTATAAAATATAAAACAGTGAGATATTATCCAACTCAGGAGCTTACTAGTATTCAGTAATTATGCTATTACACTGAAACTACCCGAACGGTAGATGAGTATGAGAATACAAGGATAAGAGACGTAAATCTATTGCTAAGCTCTGAGTATCAAAATGCTAACCCTTTACAATGATCTAAACAGGGGTATTTATACTAAAATGGGGATGGGTAAGGTGGACACATGGTCGAATCTGGTAGGCTATCACTTCTGCCATGCAAGCACCCACGCCCCCACTTGTAGCCGCCATGATCCAGCATTAAATGCGGCCTCCACTTGCTGATTGCCCGTTCGGTGTAAGGTGTTCGGTGTGTGGGACCCCGCCATAGATGTTATTTTGTTATGGAAGTATCCCGAATACCGATCGGGATCTGGGTATTGGCACTTTGGCGTATATAATTGTTTCCTGGAATGTTCAAAGTAGAAGCTTTATCCCGAAAGCCGTTCGGGAATTCTTTGGACTGCCTTGGGCCTGCTGCTTCTTCCCAGATTTGGGCCTAGGGATATTGGGCCTGGACCTAATATCCCAACACTAGTCCCCCACTTCCTATGTCTCGAATGGTAGTGAGTGCATAAGGAAGTAGAAGATTTTTGCCCGAATGCTGTTCGGGTGAATATCGGATGGTATTCGGCCGGTTCCCGAGGTACATTCTGACGGTTATTTGCAACTGCTGTTTCACTTCCCCGATAAACGTCATGATTACTTGAGAAGGATTCTCCGCGTGACACGTGTATCCGTCATCATTACAGGAAACGTGTCTTTCCCTGATTGGCTGCTAATTCGGCGTGACAGAGTATAAGTAGGCTCTTCTGGTTTTGATTCTGGGTTTCGAAACTTTGCATCTCCGGCTTAAAACGCATCCTTCTCTCTAGAGCTATTTCTTAGTTCTTGTTCAGGTATTTTCTGGCCTTTGCGTTTTTCTTCTATCCTTCTTGTTCGATCAGTATGGCAACCCGTCTTCGTTCCTCTGAGTGCTCTACCTCAAATGTCAATTTCCCTGAGAATAACCCTAGTACCATACTGGAGATTACTCCTATCCCAGCGGAGGTCCCCCACGGCGATGCCTCTTCATCCGATACTTACCCCGATGGTACCAAGTCCGGGGACGAAATGGAGGCTATGGAAGCTGGTCCTCCTACCGGCGTTTCCTGCCATAAACTTGACCTAGCCCTAATTAGGCTGATGCGTCAAAAACTCACGGCCCAAAATAGGGCCCAAATTCAGATGATGATCCCGGACTCGGTGGATTTCCGATTCCAGGCCGGGCTTCACCCAATGCGTCACTTCCCTGGGATGGTAGTGGTCCACTTTGACTCACTCAAGGCCGGTCTTAGATTCCCACTTCACCCCTTTTTTGTCTCCCTTTTAAATTTCTACAACGTAGTACCAGCCCAAATAATGTCAAACTCCTATCGGTCAATAGCTGGTTTCATTTGTCGTTGTCACAGCGTTAAGGTCACACCCACCCTAGAGCTTTTCCATTATTTCTTTTCAGTTATTCCCTAGCAGTCCCATGGTTTCCTGGTGGTAAGTGCCCGAACCGGACATATTTTATTCTGTGATGCCCCCTCCTCCATTAAGGGTTGGAAAGATAGGTTTTTCTTTGTTTCTGTCCCGAACGGTCTAATTCCCAGAAAATGGAATGCTTTCCCGCCCAAGTCCCCCGAACCTTTCATCACCGAAGAACTTAGCAAGGACGTCATTGCGGTAGAGGATGGCGGTTGTTACAAGATCAGGGCCTATCTAACACCCGATCGGCTCATCAAGGCCGGGATATGTACTACCCGTATCCCTGGATTTACTTGACTGAAAACCAAGTACCATGGCCCGGGCGGTCCTTCCCGTGTGACAAAACTTTTTGTTCATACACGTGTGAACCGCTCGGTACTAATTTTTTATTTTGTTTATTTTGCCAGCTCCTAGGCAAGGCGAATCTTCAGAATCTGAAGGAGTTAATCCTGAACAGCCAGCAATGGACGACAGTAGGCTCTTTACCGTTGGTTTTGATGATGAGCCACCAACATCCCCTCTTAAGCAGCCGAAGAAAACCAAAAGGAAGAGGCTGAGGAAAGCCGGTCAGGGCACATCCTCCCAATCCGCCCCTCTAATTCCTGAGCAGTCCGAGCCTGTCCGGGATGTAGAACCTGTTCAGCAGGTTGACCCTGATCAGCAATCTTCACATGCTGATATGCTGATGGATCAGCTCTTCTCTGATCAGCAGCCTCATCACTTTTCTGCTGAGGAAGTGGCTGCCAATCAGGCTGATCTGGCGAGCCAGTTCGAGCAGATCTCCCTCCAAGATCCTGCTCATGGAATGCTGGAAAGGGGGGCTGCCCAGCGAGCCAGATTTGGTCCACATCGGGCTTTCTTAATGGACACAACCTTCCCCCGATACCAGTCGAGGAGGCCGAGGAGTGTATCGCCTTGGCTGCCCTGAAGGTAATTTCTCATTGCATTCCTCTTTTTTCGGCTGTTCGATAACTTATCATGTCCTCGTAACTTACTTGTATTCGATCAATAGTTAGGGATCTACAGCCTGAAACTCAGAGAGGCCAGGAAGGCTAAGGAATAAGGCCTGCTGATGGCCAAGGAAACAGCCGAGCAGGGGGCGGAGGCCGAACGACGGGCTTTTGCTGAGGAGCGGAGGAAGCTGGAAGCTGAGGCTGGGGAGCTTCGTGTTAAAGTGGGCTCTCTCCAAGCCAAGATTGCGGCAGCTGAGGCCGCTCAGGTCAAATTTTCTGAGGCTCCTCCTCAAATCCCGGATGGCCCGGCTGAAATGACAGTTCATCTTTCTGCCGTTCGGGATTCTTTCAAAGCTTCCGAGGAGTTTCTGGCTCTGAAGGAAGAACACGCCACCGAACAGCCCCCTGCTGTCTTCGGGAGGCATCTGGAGAAATTGGCCGGCCAGGAGCGCCAGAAGGAGGGGATCAGGGTGCTTGATCAGCATCCTGTTACCAAGGAGTGGGCCGACGACCTTGCCCGGGGAGTCTATGGCTCAGGCTGTCAACATATGCTCCAGCCTCTCCTTCCCCTTCTAGAAAAGCACATGGGCCGTTCGGTGCAACCTGCTGACTTCCCCGCCGATCTCCATCCGGGTCATCTGAACGCCCTGATGGCACAGATAAAAAAGTGCAGGCGAGCCCTGGGGATGGAGGTCGTGCAGGTCGCTGATGAGGAAGCTGATGATGACGAAGAAGATGAAGAGGGTGAAGATCACCCCGAACAATAGACTAGTCACCTTGCATTTTCCTTCCTTGGATTATCAATATCTCTTGTACTTTCCGGCCAATAGTGCCGATGAATATACAACTTTTGTTTGTTCATTGAGTCTCCTTTTTTACTATGTTTTGTATCTATTTCTTATTCATCAATCCACATCCGTAATATGTTTCAAATTTGCTTTGTTCCAGTTCTTCCCCATCAATTTGCCTTTACAATTTATAGTGATCAGACATCCTGTTCGAGATGACATCCGTTAAGTCCAGAATTTAGGACTTCAAGATTTCTTCGAGGCATGTTGTTTCTTCCTCGATCAAGTTGCCTGTCGAGATAATCAGTCATAATTAATCCGTTCGGCGTGCACTTATGATGCCAACATTTAAGATTTAGCCATCTCTGTAAATTATTCTGCTCCATAGGATTCCAGTACCTTCCACACCTGTTCGGGTCATAAACTCCTGTACCTTAGTAATTATGTCCGCAAGCTTCCTTTCTGATTAGTTGATAATCATGTTCCGCCTTCGGGATTTAATATTGCCTTCTTTGTTGTATCCGTCAGATTTTCCATGTTAGATAACCATACCGTTCGGGTACGCCTATCACTCTTCTCACATTAGCCCAACTGTATTATTTTTCTGGTGCATTTCCTTCCTGTTCGTATCTTGGGGCCTGCCTTATGAACGCCTTGTTGGTACAGTATCTTTTATCTCGTTCGAGAAATATGCTTGTAGCCTTTTTTCCTCTTGATTTCGCCACCGTTCGGGTGTTTACCCATCATAAATGATGCTTTAACTCCTCTCAACCGTTTTGACACGTGTTTGTTTCTTACTTGAGTTCTTCACGGCAGCATTCCCCTATATAAGGACACAACTACTTCCTTTCATATTTTCTGCTGCTTCTCAATTTCTTCAAGCTTTCTCTCTCTAGAATCCTTTCCGTTACTTCATGTCGGTTTTTTCTGGTTCTTCAGACTCCGAAGAAATGGTGCCTACCTTGATTCGTCGCTCTAGGGGAAAGGCTCACCCCAAGGATCAAGGAGCATCCACCCGCTCATCGGGTTCCAATGGGTCCTCTGGGACGCCTCATCCCGAACAGCCCCTCCCCGATGATGGATGTCATTCGGGGGATGACCTTGCCGTTTATGAAAGGGGTATGCCTGAACGCCCCCCCCCCCGCTATAGTCTAAACTTCTATTGTATTAGGAAGCAGCGTCAACGCCTTCCCGCGGATGCCGAACAGACGCTCCGCCAACTATTACCGCCACCCCGTCAGTTCTATGCGGGGTATATTAAGCATCCCATGCGACATCGTCCGAGATGTGTGCTGGTCCATATGGATGCACTGATCGCTGGTCTGCGGTTCCCCATGCATCCGTTCATTGTGGAGTTCCTCCGCCGGGTCTCAGTACTGCCGACACAGTTCGTGCCTAGTACTTATAGGATCCTGAACGGCTTTATCGTCTGGTGTCATGATCTGGGGATTGCCCCCAGCGCCGATCTCTTTTTGCACTGCTACGGCGTCCAGCCTTATTGGACCACCGGGTACCTGCGGCTTGTCGCCCGTCCTGGCTGTTCGCTCTTCACCGACAACCCCACCACCCCCTGGAGAAATGAGAGGAATGATTTCTATTCGTTCATGTGGGGTCACCGCTGCCATTCCTTGACCGGTGGAATACTTACCCCGCTCAGGATGTTTCCCCCAAGGTGGATGCAGCCATCCTCTGTCAGTATGAGCGGCTTCGTCTGGCTGGTTCCAAGAACCTTCGATCTTTCCTGACTCCTGCTAAAATGCTAGCTGCTGGAATCGGTATGATTCTTTCTTTACTTGGGTTGTTCGGTATATTTTTCAATCTCTTGCTCATTTTTCTTTGTTCTTTTCTGTAGGTGTGATTCCCCCTACTTCCTTGAAGCGTCCAGCCCCTACTCCTTCCTCCACCGCCATAATCAGCAAGGGAAAGGAGAAAGCTATTCAGCCAGGTTCTTTCGCCGGTCGGAAATCTGGGCCAGTAAACAAACGCCCCAGGATCGAGAGCGGTGGCGAATTGGTCCCGATCGATCAGGTCATTGATCTGACGGACCCTTCGGTGGAAAGATGCATGTGGTCCCCTCCCCTCCCAGACTGTCCGGCAACAGGGGAGGTTCTGCTCCTGATGATCTCCCGATCCCTGATCGGTTGACGGTGGAGTTTTCAGCCATGGGCCCCCGAGCTGAATGCCGGACACTGTTCGGGCAAACTGCATCATCCATGTGGTGCAGTACTTCTTTGAAGGCTGGTGAGGGTTTCACCAACCTGACTCATTGGTCCGATCTAGTTGAAGCAGGCAGGCCATGCTGAGACCCTTAAGGTATGCCCTTGACTGTTCAGGCCATTCTTCTTATGTTTTGATATTTTTGTTGGACTTGTTCTTACTGTTGTTTCTTTTTTTTTTTTCACAGGCCGGTACATATTACCACCGGGCCTTCCTAGCTGCTGAACGGGAGATGACCCTCCTTCATCAGGAACTGGATGAGAGCCAAACCCTTTTGGCTGCTGCGAGAAAAATGGCTGCAGATCTCCAAGATCGGGCCAACAAGGGTGACAAGGCCAGGGAGGAGCTGGCTGAACTGGAGCAGAGGCTCCAAAGACGCGATCGGGAAATTCGCGATCTGCGTGCCAAGGTGAAGGCCGCCGAAGCTGCTGGTCTTAAGATTGAAAAGGCCAAGGGGGAGAATCCTCCCGCCCCTTATACTGCCGATGCCTCCAAGATCACCACCCGAGCGGTGATAGACTTTCAGAGGGGGAAAGGCCTGAACGTGGCCTTGGAGGAGACTGCCCGAGAGTTCCTCGGGAAACATCTTGGGGAATTTTTGAAGAAGTCCGAGGATCCCCTTCATGATGGCCTCAAGCTTCTGGATGAAACCCCGTCCGGAACTGCATTTGCTAATGCTCTGGCGAGAGATACCCTTGTTAAGTGCCAGGATATGCTGGTCGACCGGAATCTGGAAGTGATCAAGGAGTCTTTTGATGAGCCCTTTGACCCCAAGGAAGAAGGTTTTGATCCGTTATTCTGCCGTGCTTATCAACGGGTAATGGAGAAGAGGCAAAAGGCCAAGGATTCAGCCGATCCCCCAAACTCCAACTCGGATGCTGCGCCGAACAAGGATCCTCCCGTAGCTTAGTTATCTCTGTTGCAATCCCATTTTCTTTTCCTTCTGTATGATTCCCGGCCAGTAGTGCCGAAGAATAAAGATGACCCATTTCTGAATGATTGGCTTCCCGAACACTCATTTTTTTTTCAAGTCAGCATCATGATTAAGACGCAAGCCGTTCGGTTTGTCCCTAGCACCAACGTTGAGGTGCAAGCTGTTCGGTTTGTCTCTAGCACCAAAGTTGAGGTGCAAACTGTTCGTAGTTTCCTGATCCGCAAGGCATCACCTCTTGCTGCCTGCTGCCTTGTAGGCCCAAGGCTGATGTAACCTGTTCGGGCTATCATCCATGTTTTTCCTGTTGCGCAAGGCATCACCTCTTTCTGCCTGTTGCCTTGTAGGCCCAAGGCTGATGTAACCTGTTCGGGCTATCATCCATGTTTTTCCTGTTGCAAGACAGTTCCACAATTTGTGTAGTGTCCGCCATCTTCCAAACCCATAATTCCGATGCATACCGTCCGGTTTTACCGTCCGGGGTCATCCATATCATGAGGTTGAGATGTCCATCCTGGACCATTGAGAATAAGGCTCCCAATTCGGGTCTCCCCCTTATTCTCTGCCAAAATGGAGACTCGCCTCCACGTTACAGCTCGGGTTCCACCACAATGAATCATTTCATCGTGGTTCGTGCGAGCTGCATAGCCAAGGCGAGATTTTAAGACCAGAGTCCCGATCCCCCGCTCGGCCACCCTACATTTTCGGATGCCCACCCAGTTCGTCCTACTTAAGATCTTTTACACCATCTCCCAAGCTGAGTCCGGGCTTGGTTAACCTGCACACTTTTTTTTTTGTGCTGAGATGATGGCTCCCCATGAATCGAGATGAATGACATCTATTGATCAAGGTGAGACTTCCGGCTGAGTTTGTGGTGATGCCGTTCGGCCTGTAAC